CCTTTCCCACTGGAGAGACTTCTTCCAAACTTTTATGTTATTAATACCCTAAAGGTGAAAAAGCATTTAAATTGCCTCGTTTCTTCTAGCATTCGCTCTCTTTCTAGAATAAGGGGAACCAGCAAGAGAGGACTGTGTGCAAGAGTCTGCCAAAGAGCCTGAACCCTCAGCTGCGAGGGGCCTTCCAGAGGCTGTCGGAGTTCTTCCGTTCAGCCAGATATTCCTACAATGCCCATAAAGTTTATGTAGTCTCCCAACCCGTGTGCTGAGGGCACATCATATTTTCATGAGACTAGAACCGTGGGCGTTATGTGGCTAATAACCAGTGTCAGTGGCAATGTTAAAGCTCTAAATTCTGCAAAACCTTAGATACGGTTCTGACCCTACCAACACAAGCTTGCAAACCCTATTCCAAACGTATTGGAGGAGCTGTGGAACCTACAGGCTCCAGAATAGGTTTGTATGTTGGGATTTATTTGCCAAATAACTAGTGTTCAGCTGCATACTGAAAGTGGTCTTCTGCCAAAGATGATTTGGAAGCCAACCGATCAATAAGTGATGCTCAGGTAAACGCTTGTACCTCGTCATTTATTGCCTTCAAACGTTGGCGATAAGGAATGTTCTAATAAGTTCTCAATGTCGTAGCCTCCAGGAAAGAAAACAGTAGGCTGAGTTCATCCCTGGTGTAACTGTAGTTAAATTTGCCTCTTGCAGTTATTTAGAACGTCTTTTAGGGAACAGCAAATTGGGTCTGGCATTGCATTTGTTCAAAGACTATGTATGAGTAAGCCTTTATTTCTATCTGTCCTCTAAAGCCTCTGGAAAAATTGGCATGGAGTATCAGGGGTATTAAATCATTAAATCTATTTCTAAACACATGACATCTATTTCTATAAGCTTTCCTCAATTCCTGTTTGTTTGTTTTTAATTTGAGTCCAAATTGAGATCCGGAATTTAATTTCTGGATCTCTTCTTGTCTTTCAGCAAATAATGATACTGAAGTTATGCTGGGAAACAAGTTGCAGTTTTATCAAAGGAATTTTGTCTGCTTCTAAACACATGTTAACTAGAGCTTCAAAAAATATTTCTGGCAGGTCATTTACCTTTAGTCTGTCAGAATTTTCTTCAAAAAATAGGTTGTACTTTTGCCTGTTTGTTAACCAAAAGTGTTTAACTCCTTTTTTTTTTTCAAATCCACGACAAATCAAGGGTCACTTGACAGTTGCTTGTTCCAGTGGCATCCTTGATTGCCTTTTGTGATGTGTATTAAGCAGCCCAGGTCAGTATTACCTTATTTTTGCTCACTTAGTGGACTATTACAACTCTTATGGAAAAGTGGAAGAAAATGAGATTTCAAAGGAACAAAATGAATCCTGATTTCAGTACATGTTCCTAAAATACCTCTGATATTTTTTCACAACTTGCTGGTAATAAACACTACTGGTACAATCCTGGAAGCTGAAAGATAGAAAAAGCAAATCCAAAGTTTTCATGCTCATACAAATGTAAATTCAGTCCTAACCAATGTCAGTTATTGTGTGATTAATCCTTGTCCAAACTGATAAAACCAGTGGGCCTTCAAGTCTTTTGATTTTATTGTTATACTGTATTTAAGCCCTATTTCGTTCCCTTTAATCAGCTAAAAGTATAATGAAGAATATGTTACAGCAAGGTATCGTTTCCTCTTAGTACGCACTGAAAAAAAAAAATAATTAAAGGAGTATGAAGCCGGGCAAGTGTATTTATTCTGAAAATCAGGCTTCTGACATGGCCAATACAGATTGGGAAGGATGAACTTTTAGATACACAACACTGAGACAGTAGTTCTTTTTCAGATAGTACAACACCCAGTGATGACAGTGGAAGTCTTTGCACCGATTTCAATATTCAGTGAGTTGAATCGCCCGGACAGCACTTTTTAAACTCAAAAGTGTCCTCCTGACATGTCTTTCCTGTACAGATTTCCTGCTGTCTTTAAAGCGTGTTGTAGCTATACAAACTTGGGATGGTATTTGAAATCCTGTTGATGTTTTCGGGGGGTTTTGCACTTTTGGGTTTGTTTGTTTTAATCTTGTTACGCTTCTGTGTGTTGTTTTAGTCCTCACTGATAAACTAATTTATTTTAAAAAATTAAAACTTTGTTTTGAGACTCTAGCTTTTAGGTTGTTGTTATATGCATAAAGACAACGGTTGATCTGAATCACTGAATTTATATTGAGAAAGGATTTAAAGGCAGTAAGGTCAGCGAGGCCATAAATAATTACATCTTGAGTTTACTGGAAAGGGACACGTTTTGTGTAATCACGGATAGAGGGGATGGTTTGGTCACATTCACTCTTCTGTTAGCAAGTTCTCTATGAATAGAGATGAAAATTGACATCGATAGGAAAAAACGTTTTTCTAGAAAGCTCTTTCTGATGTTCAAGTGCAGTGTCAAATGGTGATTGACATTACATACTTGGTAAAAAATACGTATTGCCATCTGACAAAACCACCTCTTTAAACCAGCCATTTTTTGCTACCAGGATAACGTCTTTTAAGCACCTTGTTAGAAATTTTAGGATGTTGTTTAATGAGCTTTAAAGGAGCAAGCCTGCATGACCCTCCACAACTCCAGTTGACACCCTGTGCTTGCTCCCCCAGTGCATCAAAAATGACCCATGGATCCATCAGTTTGGTGTTTCTGTAGTATCAGAGCAAAACCTATGAGAAGTGGGTTTAGATCTGTCTCTGTTTTAACTTTTTCTGCCATAATTTAGTCAAATATCCTGGCTATTTATGGGTAAAGATACTCAGCTTTTAACTTTGTGAGAAAAGAAGTCAGGCTTTGGCCATTTTTTTGGTGGTCCAACTTTCTCTGCAAAACCCAAGCAGGGACAGGAACGAGCCGTGTGGGAGATCTTGCACCTACAGCACCACCTGTTCATGCTGAATTGGATCGGGATGAGAAAAGTTCTTGCTCCTCTTTGGAAGAAAAGGCTGAAGGCCAGCCTATTTCTTTCCTTCACATGCTCGTGGTAGTATCACTGATGCTTGCGGTCCCTCTCTGTACTTCCTCGACTTTCAGCACTGTGTATTTGTGGCCCGTTCTGTGACACGGTGGAGGGCTTCTCCTAAAAAGAGAATGGGTGTCACTTAAAAGGCACTTTTAGAGAATTAAGCAGCATATCAAAAACCACGTAGCTCTTGGCTTAAATTGTTCAGCACGGTCTTATATTCCTCCGAGCAGTTCAGAAGGGAGCCATTTCCTCCTTGTTTTCTAAGTCTGAGCCCCTAAAGATCGGGTAACGGATGAGAATAAAAACATTTTGATGACAAGAGGTTTACAATGGGATCATTGTCTGACTGGCACCTCCAGGGCTCTACTGGGGGCCATTGTCATGCCCGTTGCCTTTCTGCTAATGAGTGGATCCTGGCTCTCACTGAGGTATAGTGAGAGATCACTGTTGCTACCCAAGAGCTAGCAGTGGCTCATCTTTCTTGTCAGCCTCCCTGTACTCACTGTGACAAAGTGAAAGGCTTTGGAAAAACCAGACTCATTCAGTGTAATTGAACTAAATGGATAATAGGACACTTATTAGAGCATTAAACAGAAGAATACTCTTTGCCGGCTTTTGCAAAGACTACAGCTCTTTGTCATTTTATAATAGACATTCACTTAGGAGTCTATTCTTTTTTGTCTGCATTGGGATTTTTAAGATATCTAACTCCCATCAATATTAATGGGAGTTGTGCAAGTAAACCCTGGGAATTCAGAAAAATAAAAAAAGATGAGACCTTTGTGTTTCTAGGAAAAATGCAGCCAAAAGCCTAGAATAACTCAGAGTCTATAATTGTTTCTATTATGGGACTATCTTGGAGGTGAAAAAGAGCTCAAATTATAAATAAAAGCCAACCACGTAAGGACAAATTCTACAGTCCCAACTTAGCCTAGATAGTAATTTGCCCTTCAAACAACCTAAGTCTGTCCAGTTATCTCCGCTTTGTGTGGAGTAAAAAGGAACTCGGAATAAAGCAGTACGATCCTCCTGCTTCCCAGTCTGAAATCCTCATACAGGGTTATCCTCGTGCCCTGCTGGCCCCTGTCGGAAAGATGCTTTTCACCATGAGGAACCGTGTGTGTGTGTGTGTGTGTGTGTGGTGTTTTAATTCAGTGTTTTGATTTGAAAGTGCTGGTTGTGATGGTGTGCCCCCCCCCAGCCTGACCTTTGTTTCCCATATCCCTGTTGAGGTGACGAAGTGAATTGGGAGTGAATTGGGAGTAAGGGCGCTGAAACCTCGAAATCTTGGTGAAGTGATATAGAGGATTGATTACACGTATCTAATCCTTTAGACATAAACCACTGACCGAGTCTGGGACTAGCTCTGGATCCAGCTGCACCTCCCCTCTGAGAAGGAGTTTAGAACACAGCGGCGGGCTGTTCTAAACCTTTCTGAACCCCGTGGCTCAACGGGAGGGTCTCCCTGACAGTTTTGCCTGACCCTGTCCTCTATGCAGTAAATAATCAAGGGCACCTGCCATCGAATCTTATCAAACCACTGTCACATTTACTATCAAACTTTGTTAAAATGCTGTTTTATATCAAACATATCGCTGCTTCTCTCTTAGGAGTGAGGTGCATCACTCCATCCGCCACACTGGTCAGACTGGTGGTTTCACCTTTCCGGTTCAGCTCTGCATAGATCTAGCAATACTCAGTTTACAGCTTATCGGTGTCTTTTATCCTCGAAATGTTTTGCAAATTTTAAACCGGATTATCTTGTCATTTAATCAGTGCTTTGGCATAAGACACAGCTAAGCGTGAAATCATTAGAGTTCACAGCGCTTGTAAATTAGATAAAAGCAGGAAGAGGTGATTATGTGTTAGCATGTATCTCATGGAGAAGTATTTCAGCTGGACATGGCTGTTCGTACCAAAGCTTACATGATGAGACCAACCTTGCAGCAAAAGAATCCCAAATTCGTGGGTTTTCACCCTGCCATTTCCCTTGTTTTACAGGTGGAGAAACCGAGGGAGGAACGTGGCTGAAAATTGCTCTAGTCTAGAGAGCGAGCGGAAGGCAGGAGCAGAATTAACATTCTGTCACCACTGCTGCCCTTCACTAAAGCATCTCTCGGTCTTGTTTCTTGCAAACCCAGCTGGCAATTAAAATGAAAGTATTGGAGTGAAGAAGGAACCGGGGAGAAAGGACAGGTAGGGCACTTCTGCTTTCTCTTTTTATTAATACATGGAAAACCAGAGATTTGCCCAGTACAGAGTGCAGCCTGACCCTGTTTTCTCTCTTCACTTAGTTGCTACAGTTAGCTGAAGAAATGTCCTATTTGTCCCTCATGGTTTCCTTATTAAGTTAGTATAGTGCTTTAGTGCTTTGTGCCTTGCTTATATGTACAAAGGAGCAGGAATTTCCCCACCCCAAGGTATTTTTCTGCAGGGAGCAATACACACCCCGTCCTCTGGGGTCACCTGTGGCTGTGCTAATGGTGACAACAGAACCAGGTTTCTTCAGGCAGTGCCTTAGTTTTTCTATTACTTGCTTACACCTGTCTCAAATAAGCAAGGCCTGGTTTTGAAAAAAATAGATTGCTTAGGGAAGCAGCTGAATATCCATGTAACAAGGCCCAATTCCCATCTCATTTACCTTTACGTAATCAGAAACAAACTCTAATGCAGAGCAGAGCTCCATCAAAGTCGAACCAAGCTGATAGCAGAAATCAACCTGTTACATTTGGGGATCCTCTATTATGTTTTCTTAAAGACAGGAGGTTGCTTAATAAACCTGCTGCTGCGTAACTGAAGCTGATGCTTCAGGAAGGCTTTCAGCAACGTGGCTGTCCCTTTCGATTTAACGGGTGTTCGTACCGAGGTCTTTTGAACGCCTGAAATAACCCCCTCTCTTCATTTTTTTTCTTAACTAGGAACATTTCGGTTGCTTTCCACTAGATGGCTACACGGAAAGCAGTTTTGCAGGGAGCAGAGGCATGCAGCCTTTAACGTCTGGGGGAAACTTATTTGGTATTCTTTTCTTTTCCTTTCTTTTCTTCTTCAGTCTTGACTACGTGATTCAGCTGAGCTTCCTAAGCCAAAAACCCCGTTCAGTGTGGGTTGGAGAAAGTCACTGCCTTGGAGGAGCCTGCAGCAAATCAAACCAGATGTTCCCTTTGATCCTGGTTTCACTCAGCACCGCTTTGCATGCCAAGGCCATGCTCAAACTGTAAGTCCCCACCAGTAGATTGGAGGAATATCCTGAGTGTTGCAGTGTAAACCCAGGGTAGCCTTGCACAGGTGATGTCCTGCCGGGTGTTTGGCCATCCGGCCAGAGCAATTAATACCAGATCTGGGCCTGGCTTGATCACCTGCAGCATCACTGTGATCCACAGCAGCTGTGGGCATGTGAGTTTCTTTTCCCCAGATTAGCCGGAGCTCCTTATTCCAGCTTTACACCAGCTGGAGGAGGACAGAGAGTACCTGCTCCAGTACAAAAGCTTCCTAGGACCCCCCCCTCTCATCAATATTTTCTGAACATATATAAACTGGGAGAGTGAATTTATACCAGCTCAGCGTTTTGAGTTACATGGCAGTGGTAGTTTTAGTCTTGGGGTAGAAGCCCTAAGCTACTGCCTTGCTGTAATTTCTCTTTTTCTGCAACCAGCTTAACTCTAAGGGTGTGGGTATGAGATAGGCTTAACTGGGACCAGTGACATGTGGCAGGTAAGACTTCTGTTGGTTTTTTTAGCCAACAGCTGTGCATGGAAAATTTCTCCTCATTATAACAACTTGTTAGGGGTTTATTGCTGTGGTTTTCCTTACTAGACTGCAGCACGTGAAGGAAGTCTCATTATTTTCATTTTATAAATTGGGAAAGGGAAGCATTTCTCAGTGAGGTGACTTCCTCAAAGCTTTTCAGCCTGTTTCTGGCAGATCTGGGATGAGTAGAGGTAAAAGTCCCACAAATTCTCAAAGAGTTTTGGAAGTGAGAAGAACAACTTGCAGTGTCCTGGGGGGTTTGGTGTGGGGATTTGCCTGGACAGAGTGTTGTAGCTAAAGTTAGTGGGAAAAATTCCTACTGACTTTTTTACTTTGTGCAGCTCAGGACTCAAATATGCAGACACCCTAGAGAAGGCTTTTTTTTTTTTTTTTTTTTTTTTTTTTTTTTTCATCATGTTGAATCTGGGATTTACTCTTGAAAAAGCTAAGGATCCAAATAGTAACCCCAAAATAACTTCATCTAGAGCAATGGATGTTGTATTGTAAACAAAAAAAATATTGTGAAAGAATGGAAAAATCCTGCTTCATCTTTATGACTCACTCTTTCTACATTTCATGTGATGGCTTAAATCAAAACAATCCGATATAAGTCCATGTATGAAAGTTATAATTGCTTATCAGTCTTAATTGTGCTTTATGTTCACTGAGGTTTGGCCTTATCACGGGGCATGACTCTCCTTTGTCTGTTGCCTTTTCTAGGTGCAACTGAAACTCTCCTCACAACCCCAGTTTTTAGGAGGTTTTGTGAATTTATTCCTCCTCCCCCAATATATCTTTCTACTCTGCACTTTCTGCATCTCTGCATATTACTATTTCTATTGTGTTTTAAGGTATGAGTCTCAGTCAGGATATAATCCTCTGTGTTCTTTTGCTGTAAATTAGTACAGTATTTTGTGTGGGAACATATGTAGGTGTAGAGATAGAAATAGTCATCTTTAAAGTTCACAAAATGAGTGTAAGTCAGTCAGACTTTTCTACAGTTTAATTTTAAAATATTTATGAAGGACAACCTGCTGTTTTTCTTGCAGCCTCAATTATGCTGTGTGGGAATACAGTTCTACTGTGCCAGTGGTTTCTGATATATCCATTGCTTTAATGAAACTCTGTTCTGCGGCTCACATACAGCTGGGGAATAAGGGTGAGAACAGAGAAGTGCCTGCTGCATCGCCCAATTCTGTGTGCTGGACCAAATTCTGTACATTGGAAACTTGTGCTCGCGGTTAAGGTAGTTCTCACACAAATTCTAATTTGCGCTCACGTTCTATCAGGGGCCGTGATTTAGCCCAGCCGGTGCGTGCCTCGGGGTGGAGAATGGTGAGGCTGTGGTAGGAGGGGGCCAAACCTGGACTGGTGCGCGCACAAGTGACAGGGAGCACCCACACTTCAACACCTGTATTTCTCCCCCAGTTTACCAGCGTGTCTGAGACTTGCTGCTGCTCTTGCTGTCGCTTCACCAAACACACTCTTCCAGCCCACCAGCACAACGTCAGGATCTCCACTGCCTACGTTTACCCTAGTTTATCTTTTTGGACTTGTCAACAACCAAGGACTCTGCATGGTCAACCCCTGCATTACTTTGTACAGCCTGCCATTTAAAAACATCTTTTATGTAACTCCTAAGGCAGACCTACTGCAAGGATACTTTTTCTTAGAATATGAATTGATATCTCTCTTTTGGAACCAAATGTGGAAAACATTACCCAGTTTTATTTCATCTGTAAGTCAAAGTCGATATTTCAAGGATTAATGGTGTTTGTGGATGGGATCCTCATTTTCCACTCAGTAACATTTTGGAGATTCAGGTAGTAGAATCAGCGTATTAATTGTGGCATCTTTAGCATTTGTGTTAATCCTAGGGCCCTCAGTCATAGTTGCAAGGCACCACATAAATACGTAGGATTAACTGAGTCCCTCTCAAGCCCTTGCCCATGTCATGAAGTTCATCTCTCCAATGACTGTGGGTTCTCCAGTGCTTTCACTTAGAAGAGAGTTTCAGGGGGTTTGAGTGAACTGTTTCTGTGTATGTTGACACTGGATAAGACAGTAAACAGGAGGTGAAGGGGCCATAAAGCGAGGGGGTGTTACTGGAGGACAGAGGGTTATAGCTCTGGAACTTTGGAAGTCACTGCACCTCGCTTTGCCTCAGCTGCTCCATCCATGTGCACCCATCTCTTAAGCCACTTCAAAATTGGGTAATGATAGTATAAGCATGAGTTGTTAATGCTGAACACAGTGATGCTACTAAACTCTAAACGTTTTGTTCACCTTACCAGTTCCTCTCAGAATTACTGGCATGGTAAATCTATTTATCCCATGACTAACTTGCAATAGCTGGAACTGAAGCGTGTATAAATTGTTACTTTTTCATCTCTAGCTCCCAAAGATGCTAAATGCATAATAACTATACCTACATTTCAGATCAATATTGATCAGCAAGGACAAGGCTAGGAGCTGAACTGCTCTTGTCCGTTACACAGAGACAGTAACTAGAATGAAAACACAGCTTTAAATAAACCAACACCCAGACAAAATCTTGCTTTCTGGGTGTAAGTCTTAATTGTGTTGAGTAGAGGAGCTGAGCAGCCCTGTGCATCCCTGCCAGAGGAGTCTTCCCAGGCTGGCGTGGAGGGCGAGGAGCCCCGAGCTGCACTCCTGACTCCCATGGATGGGAGCCAAGAGAAGCACCTGCACTAATTCTTGCTAATTGCCTCCTAGCAGGCACCCGCTCTGCATGGGCTGCTCAGGAAGAACCGGCTTCAAAAGTCAGCTCCACTCGAGAGGAAAAAAAAAAAAAAAAAGATTTAAAAATCAGCAGCAATTAGGAGATGGTCACCCAGACATGAAATTTGTATTCACTCCTGAACAGTAGTCACAGTCAGATTCCCCACAGCCTCTCTTCACTTCACATACATTCACAGGCAATAGAGAGGCTAATCAAAGCTTGTTGCTCTGACAGTGATTTTTCTACTGCCTGTGTGTTTTCTTCATTGCACACAGGAGGCTGCTGTGGGAGAAACATGAATGCAATCAGTAGCTGCACAAAGTATAGCGGGGAATACTGCCAGGGCAGCCAGTTTTCTCTTCACGTGTTGCAGCTCTGTGAGCAGAATCGTAATCTGCATGTACGCACGGGGAAAAAAAAAAAAAAACAAACCCAACAACAAAACCTACGGTGATAAAATAATGGAGCTCGCAAAAGCCAGAAAATTCAGAGCTCGCCCTGACAATCCTGCGCTCCCTGTGCAGTGCAGAGAGCCAAACTAGCTCAGCTAATGTAAAGGGATTTCAGCGACGCGACGAAGTTCAAATGCTCTTTCAACAGATACTTGCTGTTTGGAGAACCTCCACCCAAATGCTTGCTTGCTGATTAGTTAAATTTGACAAGCAGCTTTCATTCCTGTTTCTGTATTGCTTTTCATCAGCTTAGAGTATATCCCTCGTGTTACTTTACTGTTGTGTTTTGATAACTTCATTTCTTTTAGCCTGCCTAGTCTCCTTGTTCTGCTTCCAAGTGCTCAGTTTCCCAAATTCCTTTTCAACCCATCTTGCAGCATTAGTGAAATGCTTTCGTTTCCATAGGACTCTGCTGCTCTGTGTTCACTGTTGTACGCAGGAGCCTCTGAACAGATTCTCTGTTGTATCAGTTGCTGAAGCCTGGGATGCTTATTCTGTACCCAAGAGAGGGGAAAACAGAAACGGGTGGAATTCTTCAAGTCTTCTGAAAAAGTTTGGTTTGAATATCACTCTTAGGCGATTTTGTCCTAATTTATCTGAGACTGTAAGTTCCACTTTTGCTTATTTCTGATGTTACTAATTCTCAGCGTGGGCAGCAGTAAGGCTGATAGTGTGCATTCTGACTAGAAACCAGAACTCCGCAATAAAATCTGCAGCTTATCGTGTTCAGAGATATGGTAAGATAAGGTAAATTGTAAAGTTTAAAGACTTGATTCCTCTTTAAGTCTGTTTGAATTGGAACCTCTCTGCTGTTGTGTGCAGGCAGCTGGATGAGCACTGCCTGTCCACATTTAGACATCTGCATTTTCTACGGACTAGATGTATGGTTGGGATCCCCCATCCAGGCAACAGCAAGAAAGCAGCATTACTAAAGCACACTGACTCATGGAACATAGACGTCTCAACCAAATTTTGCACTGTGAGGGTCTGTTTTCTCTCCACCGCCCTGAAGGGATCCATTGGATCAGGCAAAGACAGTCAATATTAAACCTCTACAGCCTGGGCAGAAGAGTTCTGCCTTTTGGTGCCCCCCAAAGCACGAGCGGCACCATTTTTCAGCGTGAGTCCCTTACTGTGCATTTCCTTGACAGATGGGGTTTGTGTGTGTGTGTGTGTGTGTGTGTGTGTGTGTGCCTCTTGCAACCCGTTGGGCACCACTGGAGGAACTGTCTTTTTCATTAGGAAGTGTAAGATGTGAGATTTATTTACCTT